AACAAGAAAACCGATTAATGATTAATAAAGCCCAAACCACAAAAAAGCACTTTTTAAAAGTCAAAAAAAAAAAAAAAATTTGAAAAATATATATTTTATAAAAGTTCTGTTTGGGGTGTGGTGACCTAGTAAAGTAGTCAGATTGTCAACCCTCCAAGTGGTAGATTGGGTATTCAAATCCTATTGATGACAAAAATTTGAATAATCACCTATGTAATATTCATATTACAGCAACTGTTACTAATGATTAAGTTAGGATACCTGTAATGGCAGTTGCACCAGTATGACTGGCAGGTCATGGGGTATCTGTGTAAGTATGGCATTATACAGAGGAATGCAAACTGACAAATTGGATGGTGCAAGGACTAAATAAGTCCTTGTAGCCAGGTAAATCTGTCGAAATTAGGTAACAAGAAGTTCATTTGGGAAGACCTGAGTAGAAAAATAGTTGGATCTTCGATGATTCTACTATAAAGGCTAGCCTGAGAAAATGGATATCAAGGTTGTAGTACCCAGTTATAGTAGCTGGATGGGTAAGAACCTCTGGGTTGAAAGGCTTAGAGGTATCATCAATCAGGCTACCAGAATGAATCAGAGAAAAAGAATATTGAGCTGACCTGATATACCAATAGACTGGTCATAGTCCTACACAAGCTATCTGAATTAGGAGTTTGGTAAAAAGGCTGAACAAAAGGCAGAGGTATACTAAAGTACTGGGGTTATGCTGTAAAGTAGATGCTAAGGTCTAAGTGAACTCTACAAGGGCATAGCAGTTTAATGGTTAGCCCTGACCACAAGTGTTAGTTCTGCCATACCAATACTTAGGTTAGTTGTAAAAATAGGTACAGAAGGCTCTAAGGGGTTTATCTCAAGAATAAATTAGTCCTAAGGTTGAGAATGATGATCTAGTACATTTGAGATAACCAGTAATATTAATACAAATTACAGGTTCAGAGGGTTTAAAGTGGAACACTCAAGCAGGGGTATTAGGTACAGCAATTGGTAGAGAACCTTCAGGTGGACTTTTTAAATAGATAATATAGAAAAGTTACACATATAGCCAATTGTATGCTCTCCTGTAGTAGTTCATTGAATTACAATACTGATAAGTAATTAATAAAAGTCAAAAGATCAAAGAGGTCACCTTAATATCAAAAAAAAAAAAATAAAAGTTCTGTTTAAAAATCCTAAGTAGAAAAATAATATAATCTTTAATAATATTATCTATAAAAATAGAAAAAAATCTGATTTAGATAATCTATATAAACAAGAACTCTTAGATAAAAAAATTTATCAATTTAACTATTAGTTAATCTAAATATAAAATCACATCATGCAAAACTTATTAGATTAATAGTATAATAGAACTTGTAAAAGCAAACAAGACATTATTAAGATTATAAAAAAAGATATCAAGATTGTATAAGCTTTATAAGAATATAACAATTTAATGATTAACTTTGATTACAAGTATTAATCCTAATCATAATAATACCAAGTTAACTGTAAATAGAAATATAAAAAACTTCAAAAGATTTGTTTCAAAGATAAATTAATCTTAAGGTTGAGATAAAAATCTAAGTATGACTTAATAAAGTTAATATAGTAATGCAAGATTAAAAGATTTAAAATAGAACATCCAAGCAGAAATATTAAATACAACAATTGGTAAAAACCTTTAAACAGATTCCTTAAATAAGTAATATAGAAAAATTATATATATAACTAATTATATACTCTTTCTGTAATAGTTTTATATGAACACATTACCCAAAAAATGTTAATCAAATTAAAAAACCAAAAAGATCATTTTAATACCAAAAATAAAATAAAATAATGCATCTTGTTAAATAATGATTTTAATAGAATATTGACTTAAAAAAAATAAGCTTTAATTCTTTGATTGAATCTTTCAATACCTTAACCTCATCAAATACCTGTAATGTGAAGTTAATTGTTATCTTAGAAACCTTCTCAGTTAAATTTTAATTAAAAAAAAACTTTCGAGAAAAAATTCAGGTAATCTAACAAGTAATCGATGTTAAAACCTGCACAAAGCTGATTCATTCAATACCAGAACAAATTCGTGATGTAATTAGAACCTGGGACGACTACACTAGATCGAAGACCAAAATTTATTAGATAGAAAAAAATTTTTTTTTAATACAAAAAAATTTTTTTTTGTTTTATGATCATGTTGCTGTAAAAACGAGCAGAAGTAATGCAAAATGTGAATTGAAATAAAGCTCGTTCCGTGAAAAATTTTGTTCATTGATTTTTTTAAATTTTTTTATAGATGAAAATAGTGCTATTTACGAACAAAAAAAATAAAATAAACGAATACACCGGAATTGCGAAAGATAATACGATCTAACTGAAAAATTTTTTTTGTTGCATTATTTATAATTGCCACTGTATTGCTTTTCAAGCAAGTGTCACTTGCTATACTACATACTATAAGTTATATATGGGTCCTACTAGCAGCAGCCATCGAAGATGGCATTGGCGGGTTTCACCCGCCAATTCAAACAAAATAAATAGATGTAAGCCTTCCCTTGTCCAATAATTTTTAGTCTTTATCAACTGCGTCACATTTCGTTCTGAAACATAGTATCTTGTTATAGTCGTAATTTATTAAGTATATGTTTATAATTTGATATCTCGATATCAGCCGTCAGTCCGGCCCCAGCCCCAAACATTTAGCTGAAATTAGTAGATAATATTAAATGCAAATACAAAAACGCGTGTTGCAAAAATCATTGAAAAAAAAGTACCCTGTGAGAATTGTTGCACTCCCATTAATCATAAATTTAAAAACCTCATGTAATACTTTTAAATATACATATACTCCGATTTTTGGAATTTGAATTAGGGTTTTTTAGAGGCAAACCCTAATTCAAATACCAAAAATTGGAGCATATGAAATAATGAATAAACCTTATTTTAAAGAGGCCTAAATTCCAAAACAAAGTACTCGTTAAAATAATTTGGAATACACTTAATTTTATTGTAAGTTGAATTGGAATTCTTTAACGACTCTGACACATTTTAAAATTCTATTATGACCTATGTTTATTTGGAATCAACCTATGTGCATTCTAAATATACGATAATTCCATTCCAACGTACGACATAAATATCAATTCCCTTTTTAATATTGAAAAACTAATTTCGGCACAAAAACTTTTTATTAAGAAAAGTAATTTCACCCATCTGTATATGTGACGCACATAACGTGTTATATTCATGCAAACATTACGTCTTAGCTTGTCTCCATGCATTCCAAATTATTATCGGATGCTTGGACCTGTTTGACATACCAAAGGCAAACAGATCCACACCTACCGAGTGACTGATTAATCCTAATAATTTTTGGCAGTTCAAACTCGAATCTAACTCGAAATAATCTTGATTTATTACATCAAAATTATTAAAATTATGTATTGGCTAATCACGTGAAATAACTGTTTACTTTTTTTTTTTGAAAATAAAAACAATACGTACGTATAAAAGAGTGTATATTGGATAAGGATAAATAGTATTCAATTATATCACATATCAGGAAAAATTAACGTTAACCAAATAATTAATTAGAGAAAGTAACTAATTTAGGGTCTCGCGGCACTCCCGTCTGAGGATCAATATTATTGGTTTTAAATTTCCTTTGCATTCTGAGTAATCTTGCCTGATCAAAATTCAGGCCTTCGGTCTCCATGATTCGCTTGATTTCTTCCGAATCTTCTAACCCTGAACGGTTATCTCCATCAACAAGGTTTTGGTGAAGGTCAAAGGATTCTGATGTTAATCCACCTTCAATATCACTTTGAAATGAGTTTGTGGAGAAAACAGCAGGCAAACGTTGATAGCGTTGATTCAAATAAGGGAGTTTTGCAAGAATTGCTTTGCGATAATGGAATGTAACTTATATAGATTGCAATATATTGGAAAATTCGAAAGATTAATATATTTGATAAAATGATGCACTATATATTTTGTACGAATTACAACTTACCTAGCACCAAAAACAAAAGGATAAGAAAGAGATAGCCCAGCATATCTTTCACCATTGAGTTGCTAACCTAGACAAGGTTGTGATTCGGAAAAGGTTTCATGTTTGCCACAGAAATTGGTTAAACATGTGTTTATATTTAGTAATTTAAGTGGCTGTGGATTCGTGACACACTTGGTTTTTTCTTATTGGCCAGAATTTCAAAATAAAACAACTCGAAAAAAAAACTGGTTTATCAATGTCAGATAATTATTTAGTAATAGGAGGTGAAGGTTTCGTGGGGAGATGGATCGTAGAAATGCTTCTTAAGCGTGGCGAAAAAAATGTATCTGTTTTTGATATTTCACAACGATATTTTGATGAAGAGCTTACACATTATACTGGTGACCTTAGTAATTATAAGGACATTGATGATGCCATTCGACAAAGCAATGCTACGAGCGTGATTCACACAGCATCTCCGCATTATGGCGTAGCCCCTAAAGAATTATTCTGGAAGGTTAACGTCGATGGAACAAAAAATGTTGTTGATTCATGTGTTGCTAATGGTGTTAAGAAATTGGTGTATACTAGTAGTTCGAGTGTAGTTTACGACGGGATCAACGAAATTATTAATGGGGACGAGACCGCGCCTTATCCCGAAGTACATATGGATGTCTATAACGAAACGAAGGTATCGGTAACCATCCCTATTTTTGTTTTTTTTCTATCTCTATTTTTGTTAATTAAAATATTTGATTCATTTGGTTCAGGCCAAAGGTGAAAGAATCGTGCTTGATGCTAACGGAACTAATGGCCTTCTTACATGTGCCATTCGTCCATGTGCTATTTTTGGGTGAATATTTATTTCCGTTTTACTAATTACAAAGTTAAAACAAAACCTACAATTTTATATTCAACATTTTATTAATCATTTGCCATTACTTTATCACCCAAGTCCAAATGACCGACAGCTACTTCCGCCTGCAATTAAGGTTATGCAACAGGGTCAAACAAAATTTCAAATCGGGGACAATTCCAATCTAGTTGACTGGACCTATGTTGAAAATGTTGCACACGCACATTTATTGGCTTCTGATAAATTATTTGATGGAAGCCCGGTTGCGGGAGAGGTATGAAGAATAATTGTAGTTAAAATTTTTATTATTGTAATATTTAATTATTAATTTCAAATATATAATTCTTTTTTTTTTAATATAACAAAAAAGGTATTTAATATCACAAATGGTACGCCGGTACCATTTTGGGACCTGTTAAGATTTGTGTGGGCTCAATTCGGACATTACCCACCATACATCATTAAGTTTCCAAGATCAGCAGGTTTTGTCATTGCATCGTTAGCTGAATTAGCATGTTATTTTACGGGAAAAGAAGCTGGATTTACGAGATTTAGAGTAAGATTTAGTTGTAGTAATAGATATTTTAATATTGAAAAGGCAAAAAAATTGTTAGGGTATGAACCTTTAGTTGATTTAGAAGAAGGTGTAAAAAGAGCTTGTCAAAGTGTTAAAATTTTATAAAATAGTTAAGTCAAATACACTGAATCTTTCGATTGGTCATGGCTTTCAATGCCCCGAAATAGTTTTTGGCGCATGATATTACAAATCAAATTGCAAAAATAGCACATAAACCCATAATTTTTGCGAATCTGACAACCTCATTAATCAGAATAAGAGATACTCGCAAGATCAACTGAAAAATAAATCTGAATTAATATTATCTTTTCGGAGATTACCAAAACAAGCACAAGAAAGCACACATCAGTATAATCACTCTAAGCCTAGAATAACTGACATACAAGTCATAGGCATGCCACAACTGCCATGCCAAAAATCAATTTGGCATGCAGTATAAAAGGTAATACGCAGTAAATATTTTCTATTTAAATTGTCCCAGAGGTTTGATTAACTTTAATCGGTCGGAACCGGTTTTAATAATTCGATTTTATCACGATTAATCAAAATTTTATTGGATGAATTGATGTGATAAACATTGATTTTAGGATATTCTAGAATTTATCAAAATTTAATTGGATAAGTTAATGTGATAAACTCGAATCATTAAACCGGTTCCGACCTCTCATCGATTATGTTAATCCGGTTAATTGCTTCTGATGGAACTTTTTTAGAATCATAACTAAACTTTACCAAATTTTGGCAGAGTTTTTTTTTTATTTATAGCAGTAAAATTACCATATCTTTTAAATAATTCATCTTTGTATATTGATAAAAAAAATTAGATAGTCATACTTCGATATAGTCACCAGGTCGGAAAACAAAATTTTGGTGATTATAAAAAGTTGTGACTATATAAAGGTTAAATCTATATGCTTTATAATAGGACTAAAGAATAGTGTGACTATAACGAGGTTGTGACTATATCAAGCATGGGTCTGAAGTTCAATTTTTAATTTAGTTGCGGCCTCGACTAAATAAAAGCTTCACTTGCGAATTACATGGATTTAGTTGCGCATATGAATGTATTTATATGCAAATTCGAACATATCTATATACAAATTCACAAAATTTCTTTGCGGAACCAGCATATGCATTTCAGATTTTAGTTGCGGGAACTTATAAATCATTTGCGGTTCGCAGCCCAATTTCAGACACTGGCTATAACGAGGCTTAATTGTAATTCTAAATTTTCTTAAATTATATAAATATTACTAATTCTAATTGGTAAAATTTGTTATTTTTATGATTCTAATTAATTAATTATCTGATTTTATACGAATATTATATTACTATTAGTGTTCTAATTTAAATAAGTATTACTCAAGTTATTTGTAGATAAATAATTAAATTTAAGGGTAGAGTGTAACATTTTAAATTTATATATAAACTTGATGGTATATTTTTTTTGTAATCTTAATTACAAAAATTTTTATTACTTAAATATTTTTTAACCTTATAAGTAAAGTTGTAGAGTAGGTTCTTGTGATTCTAACAATAGTAAAATCATTAAAATTGGTTTAAAACTCATC